CTTGTTTTGTCACTATCTGCCTACGTAAAAAGTTGTTCTCCCTCTTTTATATAAGCTCCCTTTAAGTACTGAAAGGCTGCATGAGGTCTGCCTGGAACCTTCTCTTCTCCAGGCTGAACAACCTCCCTGTGTGATCCTCTTTCCTGGGCAGCACAACCCACTACGCCGCTGAGTTGAGAGCATTTGCCTTGTAGGAGTGGATGGCTGGTGGGGAATGCTGGCCCATGGCTGACTTTTTGCAGGCTACTGGATCTGACCCTGCCATTTACAAACCCACTGGACTTTTTAAATGGTAGTTGCAAGAGGCATCAGTTCAGTGGCAGATGGTTAATAAGGTGTTCAGGTGCTTCTCATACACATTATACAGAAAGAGCAGTTATCCTAAGCCATGCAGAGTGTTAGCAGAACACCCAGATGTTTTTAGTGTATCTTGCTATAAATATTCTGGTTTTAGACTCCCAGTACTGGTATAGGGAAGCAGCTGTGACAGCATGCATTAGAAAATTTATATACAGGAGCCAAATTTCTCAACACATTTCAGGTTTTATTTCTCTATTTCCAGTCTTTTTTTTCCATGTGTTTTGATAATCCTGTGCATATCTCATAATTATTACTGTTCTAGTTTTGTGACAAAATGAAAACCAAGCAGACAGCCAATAGCATGGTAATGCTTCACCACTTTTCTTTTATTTGGTGCCTACTGAGGATAACGATATTTCTGCACTGCTTGTTTAACCAAAAAAAGAGCTGCCATTACTATTTAGAAGTAGGCTGCTGCTTTGTTTTTCCAGACAGCTACATTTTACAAGCTTGAGTTCTGCTGATACAGTCCCTGCTTGCTGTGTCTTGCAGGGCAGAAATCATCCAGCTCTCCTTCTCCTTCTCCCAGATGTCTCCAAAGAATAGGGTGGAACCTGCTGGCCAAGTCCAGCTTAGGATGGAGGAGAGAGTAGTGGAGGAACTGAAGTATCAGATGGGAATAATCCCTGGCAGACTTCTTTCCTAGAACATCATTAAATGGACTCAGGTTTAGAATAGAGGCTCTTAAGAGACAGACGTATCAGAAGGAAACTGATACTTTTGAAGTTAAACGAAAGTAATTAATTCTGTTTCTGGCTCCTTGAACTTTTCTTCTCCCTGTGGGGTTCATAGCTAACCATGGTCTGGTAAATATAATTTTATTCTGCTATCTAGCATGCTCTTTGTAAAGGGTTTTTTTTTTCACAAATACAGTTATTGCATCCTGCCAAGATATTCTGCCATGGACAGCTATGACTTCGTTTTCTACTCTCAGCAATTCAGAGAGGGTATTTTTACACTCTACAGTATCAAGATATATTTATCCATATCAGTGTATACATATACCAATTCCAGTCTTTAATACACTGGAGAAGTGTTTCTTGTTCAGGGTCCCCAGTGAGATGCTCATAAGTGGTGAGGTGTTATCATTGTTGGGATCGAGTCTTCTCTTAACCTCTTCTCCTGTGCTAAGGAGGGCATCTGAAGAGTCAGGAGGTTCACATCTTTCTCATCTCAGAGTGTTCTTGCACAGCAGGGCGTGACTTCAGATGTGTGTATGTCAGCCAACATCAGTCAAAAGAGGTGAGTAATAAAAAATAGAGGAAGAGCCAACAGAACCCAGACACAGCTGAGTCTTTTCATCTCACTGACTCCAAAGGGCATAGTGAAGCTGAGCCTGGACAGTGCCACATAAAATAAACTATCCTGCAGAAAATCCTATCCTGCAGAAAATCCGAGCCAAAGCTTCTTAAATAGCAGCTATTTACAGAAGAATGATCAAATCTTCCAAGGTCCCAAATGTAACACAAAACCATACATCTTACTCCCAAATGTGCCTATCACAGTATGTAAGTCTTTAACATATTGATTGATCCAAACCCAAATGTTTGTATTCCTTAACAGGGAAAAGTGGATTAATAAGCTATTAATTGACATAGATGGTTAATTATATTTTCACATTAATTTTCCAGGAGTTCTGTGCTGTCAGTATGTTCTATATCAGAATGGAGTCTTGTATTTATAGAATCATAGAATCATAGAATTATTAAGGTTGGAGGAGACTTCTGAGATCATAGAGACTAACCATTAGCCTGCCACTCTGCTGTAACCCCTAAACCTTAAACCATATCCTCCAGTGTCAGATCCAGACACCTTGTAAACCCTTCCAGAGATGGTGACTCCACCACCTTTCTGGGCAATCTATTCCAGTGCCTGAACACCCTAACAGTGACAAAAATTTTCCTAACATCTAATCTGAATTTCCTCTGTCTCAGTTTATGACCTTTCCCTCTAGTCCTCTCCCTGCAGGCATGGCAGCAGAGACCATCCCCCACCTCTCCACAACCTCCTTTCAGGTAGTTGTAGAGAGCAGTGAGTGTTGTTCATCCTTTCTGATGAACAACACTCTAGCCACTCTTCCCCCAGTCTGTAGCACTACAAGGGGTTGTTGTATCCCAAGTGCAGGACCAGCACTTCATCTTATTGAAGCTTGTGCAGTTGTTCTCAGCCCATTGATCAAGTTGGTCCAGGTCTCTCTGTAGAGCTTTCCTACCCTCAGTCAGATCGACATTCCCAGCCAGTTTAGTGTTGCCTGCAAATTTACTGAGGGTACACTCAATCCCCACGTCCAGATCATTAATAAAGATGTTAAATAGGACTGGCCCCAATACTGAGCCCTGGGGAACACCACTAGTGACCAGCCACCAATTGGATTTAGCTCCATTCACAACTGTCTGGGCATGGCCATCCAGCCAGTTTTGTACCCATCAATGAGTCCATACAATCAAGCCACAAGCAGCCAGTTTTTCTACAAGTATGCTGTGTGAGACAATGTCAAATGCCTTACTGAAACCCAGATAGACCACATCCACAACTTTCCCTTCATTCACTATGTGGGTCTCTTTGTATACAAGGAGATCAGGTTGGTCAAGCAGGACCTTCCTTTCATAAATCCATGTTGGTTGGACTTGATGCCCTGGTTGCACTGCATGTGCTGTGTGACGGCACTCAGGATGATCTCCTTCATGACCTTGCCTGGAACCAAGGTTAGGCTGACAGACCTGTAGTTTCCTGGATCCTCCCTCCGACCCTTCATTTAGATGAGTGTCACATTTGCTAATTTCCAGTCAGCCAGAACTTCTCCAGTTATCCAGGACTGCTGGTAGATGATTGTAAGTAGTTTAACAAGTTCTTTTGGCAGTTCCCTCTTTAGCGTGGGGTGAATCTCATCAGGGTCCATGGACTTGTGAGTGTCCAATTGGCATAGCAAGTCATTAACCATCTCCTTCTGGATTACGGGGGCTTCACTCGTCGCCCCATCACCAACTTCCAGCTCTAGGAGGTATCCTGAGGACAACTGGTTTTGACATTAAAGACCAAGGCAAAGAAGGCATTGAGTACCTCTGTCTAATCCTCATCCCCTGTCACTACACTACCCTCTGCATTTAAGAACTCGGCTCCCTCTGAAGACCATCAATGCCCCTTCCTAACTAACCGAAGAGATAAAAACAGACATGCTTTGCCCAGTGAAGAGTATTTATAGTTCAGCTTTCAGGTATAATATATAAATTCTTGTATTGTCATTTTTTATGGGGGAAAAAAAGGTACAATGAGAAATGAACCACAAAACTCCATAATGCATATATTTAATTGAATAAGTATCCAATTATTTTTTTTCTCTGGGAATAAGACTGAATACGGAAGTAGTTTCAAAGTCTTGCTTTATAATGCTTTGCAAATGAGACCTATAAGAACACAATTGTGTGGTGTTGAAGTGAAATTCTTAATAATGTGTTCTGTTTGATAAATTAATTGAATTAGTTATTGTTTGCTGAAGAGTTGAAACTGTGCCAGGAGCTTGAATCCAGACTCAACCAACATGTGTGTGGTGTATAAAGAAACTGGATTGAGCTCAGAGCCAGATACAAGCAGAGCTGAACAGAATGTGAAGGCTGGGAGGACCTGCTCATAGCAGGTGTTAAAAACACAGGTCCAGACTTTCACACAGATGCTGTGGACAGAGCAGTGGACTCAATCAGCACTTCTAATTACTGTGCCCCTGGTTAGAAGCCCAGCATAGTTTGGCATATTGCAGGTGCTTTGAATTCTACCTTCTGGGAACTGTGGAACATGTTCCAACTTCCAGTGTCCATATTTCTTTATGATGAAAAGTATGAACATGGGAGGCACAAGAAATACATCAGAGAGTGAATTTAGTCATGGAATAGACATGGATGTCACATTCATCTTCTCAGAGGTGATAGAGGGCAAAAATCTGTGTTCCCAAAGCCATGGGTGGGAGGGAGACAGGAGATGCACTCTACTGGGACTGGTGTATAACCCTCTATATTTGAAAATACACACATGCATATGTCTCAGAAAAGAAAACACATTTCTTCTTTGCAGACCTCCAGCCATAGTTTTTGGTTTCTTGGAACCTATAGATCTGCCTAAGGAATGTCTAAGGGGAAGAGGGGTCGTCACAAGCATGGCAGTGATTTCCACAAGGCAAGGGGAGAAATGCATAAATGTCCCCTAATGGACCTGCAATTTTGTTATTTACAGCTTATCTATACTGTGGTGCTCTAAATGCATCAGTAGCATTAGCCACACTTGCTGTAATAAAGACACCGTTAAAGAAATATGAAAGTGCTCAAGGTTGGGTCTCACGCTCACATAGCTATGCCTGTTTCCAATTGTAAATCTGTATGTCTTAAAAGTAGCAAATAGTCTTCCAACTAGGACAGTTTTTGCTGTGTAACTTCTCAAGTCAGAGAACTGTGCTATGCTAAAAAACTTTGCTGGGAGCAAAGCTGTGATCAAAACAGCATCTAAAGTGTTTGAAAATACTCTGTCCTGGGGATGTACCTGGGAGCGCTGTTGGTTTTACCTTTGATTTAGTTAGCATGATTCCTGGCATCAGTGTAACATTATCTGGTTTTTGGATTTATTTGTATTTTTTTTTGTTTTTTTTCTCATAGGTTGGCTGGATTAACTGGGTCTCATTCCGAGGGAACTTGACAGATCTATTTTGCTTTCGTTGAACCTCTCTACTGCACGTCATAAAGATTTCCAAGGTCCAGAAGCTGCACAAAAGACAACTGAGCAGCACAAAAATGTGACTCTGACGAGAGACTCCAAGCCTTTTGATGAGGAATTTTCTACTGATCAGTTTCTAATTTAAATATTTAAGTGAAGCATGCATAGTAGTTAACCTGATAGGGGGGAAAAGAGCCTTCTTATTAATTAGGACTGCCAAAAGAAAGCAGTCACCTGAAGCTTCAAAATGAGTGCTCCATTAATCCCAAACAAGTCATGTTATGCCCAGCTTCAGGACAACCGCAGTGAAATAAGAAATAATAATGAAAGCATAGTGAGCATGGGGGATACCAATGCCAACCAAATTGTGGCAAAACTTAGAACCACTGATGAGGGTGTTAAGAAACATGATTTGACGTACGAGAGTGGGAATATATACTCTGGAGGAACAGAAAAAGTTACTCATCTGAATACAGAGCAGAATAAACTTTTGAGCTTCAGAGACTCTCGTACCTGTCACACTAGTGTACAGGAAAGCAAGCTGCCCTCCACCACAAGCAGGGAAATGGGGAAGGATTGTAAGACCAGTGAAGCTAGGGATCTATCAAGGCATATCAGGATTAGCCGAGGACAAAGCCTGTCCAATTTAAAAAGTAGCACAAATGATGGCAACCTGGAGGTTATTTCCAAAGGTGACATTGACTTCACTCAGAACTTTTCTAAAGGAAAAATTCCCAGGACTGCGGAGGTGGAAAGAATAAAAAGGCTTTCTTTGGGAAGACGAAGTAAATTTTCTCCTCAGTCTGAAACATTTGCAAAAGATTGTGTTGGCCGTGTGTCATGTAAACGTCTGCTTTCTGCGTCATTGGACTCCATCGACACGTCACACCATTTGATAGGAAATACAGAGAAGTCACAAAAAACATCCACGGATCATTTTCTTGGGACGGCATTTGAACCACTTGACAATACCTCAGAGGAAAATACTGTATTTTATTCCAAACCATCTACCTCAGGGAACAAGAAAATAAATAAACCAGAAAATGTACCAAATGTTAATGTTGAAAGCACACTGCATACTTCTCATTCTCAACATTCAGCTGTTAAGCTCAATGAGATTGCTAGTAAATCAGAAGCACAATTAGGTCAGGGTGATAAAAATAAAAAAATGGAGCTTAAGACTACACCATCTCTACAATATAAAAATACATGTCCACAAAAGATAGAGAAAATTATGCTGGGGTGTCAAAGAGATGAAAATACAGCCGTGCAGGAACAGAAAAGCTCTGGGTCTGACACATCAAAATTTCAACCATCCCATTTTCAAGGCAGCTGCAATAAAGTAGAGGACCCATTGTCAAGCCAGGTGGTAACTTACCCTGATGACAAATTGCAAAGTGATAACGTCACCATCAGTGGGGAAGGGAGAGGAAGCAATGACAGTGACAACAGGGCAATAAACCAGGTTGGTGAGGAATATCTTACTGATGAAGAAATGGAAACAATATTCCCACTCTCCTGTAGTAGTAAATCCAGTATCAAAATGACTCCTAGAAAAAATGAAAATTTATTTGAGGTTGACACAGGTTGCACTGAAACAGTGGGTGAACAGATATCTCCTGTGCATAATATTAATACACCTGACAGCAAACCCTTGAAAGTTAATGAGAATAAACTGTTGCTGGTCAAAGAAAGCACTGAGGATGCTGTTGTGCCTGCTTCTAATCTCTCAGGTTGTCGCAGAGCACGCAGTGCAGAGACAGTTTCAAACCAACAACCTGACAGTGATTCAGAAAACTTGAACTTTTCAGTTCCAAGTAAAAAACCAGCTAATGCACAGAAACATTCTCCAGAGGAAGCACCAGAGAGCTGTAATGTTTCGACTAAGGCTGATGCCTTTTTATGTGTCCCAACTACTGTGCGCCCCATGGCAACGCTGGATGTTAATGGTCAGCCCACAATACCGAACAGTAATTTGAAGGACCTTTATGCACTTCACGATGACAAACTGTCACCCTCCTCAGTCCTACCTCCCACTGACAGCACACAGTTGTTACACATATCCCCTAAAGTGCCTATGAAGACTGCGTGCAGCAGCGCCATCCCAAAACCTATCCTGGTCCACCCCAAGGGCTCCCTCACAGATAAAGTAGGTGTGGACAGTGACTGCAGTGAAAAGCTGGAAGAAAGCATTGAGATGAAACCTGCCATACCCAGGCCTAAACCCGTGAGACCTAAAATCATCACATACATTAGGAGAAACCCTCGTTCAATAGAGCAGCTTGACCCTTTGTTTGCACCAGCAGGTCTGCCCTTTGGTAGCCCTGCATGCAGCATGCCCATCTCTACCGAGCAGAAGGCATCCAACGGAGGAGAGGCAAAGCCTGCCAGCATCCTGTATGACAAATTTAAACCTGATCTCCAGAAGCCACGACTCTTTGGTTCTGGACTAGTGGTATCAGGAATTAGGCCCCCTAGTCATCACTTTGGTCCAATGAGTGAGAAGTTTCTGCAGGAGGTAAGTTTCTGCAGCTTTGGCAGTTGCTTTTTTATGCCGAGTGCTGATCACTTTTTGCTGCCAGAAGTTAGTTCTCAGACCTCAGATAAGAAATAAATCCTAAATCAGGGGAATGTGTGATCATTAGTAATAAACTGTTTCTGGCACTGACCCTGATGTGATGTTTTAGCTGTGACTAGAAGTTGTCATTGTGTGCCTCCAGTATTTTCCAGCAAAATGGTCACCTGTCTATAGTATAAATAGGGATGTTTAGAAAGGAAAATACATGCTGAATTGAATAAATGGATTTTTTTTCCCAAAGAATAGCTTTGGGAAATTGTAATTTGCCCACAGACTTTTCCTTCTTAATGGGAAAGTTGGCAGGTTTTTGTAGACAGATCACTAGAGGTCTGAGCAAATTCCCTTCTGTTTTGCTCTGCTGAAACCCAGGGACTATCAGAGCTCTTGTTAGATTATTTACATCATACAGAAACAGATTTACTTTTGACTCTTTTTAATGCTGTCTGTTACATTGACCTGCACCTCAAATAAGATTTCTCCTTTCTCTGGAAAGCCATCCTTAGCAGCCAAAAGGTGATAGAAATCCCTCTGACCACTTCTGACTCCTGGTGCCTCGTATTTCTGCCTTGCTAAATGGGGCAGGAGTCTTGGTTTCCTGAAATCCCTGCTGGGAGGTGAGCACGCGGGAGGAAAGATGACCTTGCTTGGTAGGTGGAGAAAGGACAGGGAAGAAGAGGAAGCTGCATTCAGGTCCGTCGTGTACCCTTGAGCCCACTGCCTGGGACTTGTGGTAGCTCAACAACTAAGCCTTTTATACTGAAGATTAACACAAGTGGGTTTAATTTGAACCAGTCTTTAAAAAACAAGCAAAACACAAAACAGAACTGTGTGTCTCATGGTGTAATTAAGGCTATTTTAATGCCTGCCTCATACTGCATAGAGTGTTAATCCAAGGAACAGCATTGAAACAACAAATTTGGTGGCAGTTTTGACAATCAAAAGCTGGCAAATACCCAAATAAAGATATCATGTGTGAGTGTAGATTAGCTGTTATGGCGTGTTATAGTTATTTCTCATCGCAGACACAGAAAGGACAGCGCTCAGTGTCCTTTCCCCTCTAACTTCAGTTTCCGGCTCTGCTTTTTATATTTTGTGTCCAGAGGATAAATTACTAAAGTCATTGGGAGTTTGTCTATACCAGAAATTATTAGTATATTTTCACAATCACCTGATAAGGTGAAGGGAAGTTACTAGGTTATTACTGTTTAATGCATGGCAATAGAAATTAAAGCCAAAATATCATGGACTGTGCGGCTATTTGGCTGTTTATAGGGTGACATGTCCCTCTGAAGACCACAGGTGTCTATGACAACTGGGGTTTAGATAATCAGGCAGGATCAGCAGACACATCTGTGAGCAAAGGACTTCTTTCTGTGAACAGCTGAGGACTGATTTTAGCATGAGAAGGACTCAGGTTGTAGCAAGTCTGCAGCATGGTTTTCTCTAGACTAGGGTTAAAGGTAGGACAGTTGCGGGCAGGAGAAGATCCAAAGGATCTTACCTTATTCCTCCGAGAAATATGACTTTGTGTGGGTATTTCAAAGAGGGAAAATCTGAACCCAAGTAAGCTGCTTCTTTGGAGAAGGTAGATTACCTGGAAGAGAGGCTGTGAAGAAAACGTCAGCCAAACTGCTGTTTGCATTATGAGTGTGCATTAGCTCCGGAATCAGGAGCTGATAGCAGAAGGTAGAATTTGCTCTCTTGGGCTAAAACCCTAAAACCAATAATCTTGCTGTCCTGCCAGTTAGAGGAATGCAAAGGGGACTGATTTGGCTCAGTGTGGATCAAGAGAAAGGAAAATGATTGATCCTTAAAAGTGAACAGATGCTTAGAAGAGCAGCTGTGCACAGTATGGGTTCATAGCAGATGAGTGATGTGTAATCCAAAAGAAAACAATTAGGATGGATTGAGACAGATCAAAATCTCTGTGATGAAGGGTGTGTGTTGAAGACTCAGAGGTTCTGGAGGCAAGGAGACTCTGTGGCAGGATGGCTACTGTCTTGGTGAGAGAAAAAAATCCCAGATTGACCTATTTCACACATCCAGTTTGGGCTTTAGAGAGCTTTGATTAGCATTTTGTAACTCTTTACATAGCTATGATAGTGTCAATAGGAAGCTTATATATATCAGTCACATCTGTAATCTCTAAGCACCCTTCAGCTGGCTGAATGTTAGGAACAATTAAATATCCCTCTGGGTACCATGAGCTAGAATTAGGAAGGTACTGTTTTAGACAGAAGACTCCAAGAAAAGGCCTGGAGAACTCTGTAAGACTTGAGGGTTGGCTCTGTGTGGTGAGGATTCTGCAGGGCTCCTTGAGCTACCTGTGCCAAACCCCACCTAGGGCAGCTCAGACAAATATCCTGGCTCAGGTGTGAAGGCAGTGCAGCTGAGCCCAGGTCCATAGCAGAGTTGAATTAAGGTTAAATGGGCAGCCTTCCCTGTGGCCTTGAGAGCTCCTCCAGTGCTTTTCTTTGGAACCTTGGCATGGTGTGTAGATAGATCTTTCATGCCTGTCTTCATAAAAATATAAGAGTTAGAAAACCTCTCAAAATGAAATGTGAACTGCTTGAATAAACCTAGTTGTTGTCCAGGGCAGGTTGCCACTGTCCACATGTTTCATCACAACATGGACTGCCCATGT